CGGCCTGAACTGCTCTACAAATGCGTTCGTCACTCTCTCTCTTTCTCTCTCTCTCCTTGCCATACGTATACAGAGTGATTGTTTAATCGAGGTCCATCGATTATCTTTTTTTTTCTTTTTTCATAATCATTACTCATTAGGTATGTTACATTATTATCACATAGACACGTTTACTATTATTCCGTGTATACTCATATCCAGCGAAACCTCGAATCCGTGAATGATACCGTGTGATAACAAATAAATGTAACCTTTAAATATATCTGTTGCACCAACAAAGACTTTACCGGAAATTCACCGAAAAAAACTTAGTATTTTAAAGTTAAAACCGTCGTTTCAAATTATTAAATTTGCAAATTGACGTTAGATTTGTATCAATTCGTAATAAATGTATACATTGACTGTAAAAATAAATTAAACTCAAAACAAAAAAAAACTATAGATTTTTTAAACAATTAAAAGTCCATATTATAGAAAAAATAATTAATTAAATTGATTTTTAATATTTAGAAATTGTTTCAAACATTTCAAAAATGGAGGTATACACAATAACGCCATTCTATTAAATTAATTCAGTTTGTGTATAATGGTTGTGATAAACTAGGTGATGGTCTATTTGAATTTAACCATTATGTGGATTTATATTTTAGTTTTTCAATTAAAATGTGTGTTTAGAAGAAACTCTCTTTTTGAAAGAAATTTCCGAGTCCCCATAAAAGTGTGATATCGTCCACGATTTTATTTAAGGGATGGGATAATGGGTGATACTCATATAGTGTATGCTGTGATGTTGTATAGTTTTTATCATGTAAACAATTTTGCTAATCCGTTTCTTAAGTTATTAAATAGTTGAATATTTTATTTATCTGTTACTCATGAGACAATGTAATTTATTTAGATAAATCATATATTAATAAATCATTATCATCTTGTAAAAAGTAATTAAATGATTTTAAATATGGTTTTTTTTTTTAATTTTATTCGATTTAAATTTGAGTGCTATCTATTTCGCTAAATACCCGTTTCGCCAAATACATTATAATCATTTAAAATTAGCAATGCTTTTTAAAAATATTTGACACTTAGACACTTTTTCCATGCATAGTAATACATATTATATAGAGATGAAAAAGGCATTTCAACATGTATTTTAAACTGTTGCACTTGTACGCGTCACAGTGATGAAATATATGATAGGACGAGTATTTTTTCAAATTTTATGTTTAGAAGACGGTTTTACATAAAAATAACAAACTACATTTACCGCCTATAATAAAATACAATGTGTCTAGTTTATACATTGAAGTTATGTATGGATCTAATTCCATCATACATGTAGGTATCCGAGTGAATAATTTTTAAAATTTACATCACTTGCCCCGTCTTGAAAAATAAATATGTATAAATAAAACAGGTGCGATTTGGGGTCAATTTAAATTCAACACTATCGTCAATCTATGTTTAGTACATACTCAGTGGCGCAACTAGAGTTCAAAACTTGAGGGCGCTACAATTATGAATTACATACTTAGTGTTGGCGGGCTCCGCTCCAACCACCCTCTAACATAACATATTGTCAATATTTAGATTATACTATTATTTTATTCACAATACCATTTTTGGAGAAAAAAATTGAACACATTTTATTTTTTTATTATAGAATTTGATATTAAAATTTAAAGTGTCGAACACATTGAATATACTTGTTTTCATTAAAAATACTAAACGTTATGAATATCGAATGAAAAATTCAATAATTGTCATTGTCCAACCTAGAATAACAAGTGTTTGGATTATTGCTAATAAATTTATTGGTCGTATTAAAAAAAAAAAAAAAAAAACAATAACAATAACACAATAATAATGATTTTTAACTAACTGCGAATACATAATCGGCTTAGGGCCGTACGACGGTTCTGTACTTATGCGTATACTGTTACAGTTTAGGTCGCCGAAAAATCAAAAGTTACTCGAAATTTCCACCGCGATCCGCCTTGTACGCTATCGCAGGCGGGGCGCGGTAATTTTTATAAACGTCAGATTTTAACGGCTCGGAGATATAGTTCACGAGTGGATTTACGAGTGTATTGAACTCTCTACGGGTGCGAACAGCCGTATTCGGGTGGCGACGATGCGATTGCCAAACTGCGGGTACCGATATAATAATATCGTTATAATACTGTACCGATACGGTTTGCTCGGGTAATGACAGCTGCTGCAGGTGTAAAAAATACAAGCGCGCGCGGTATACGAGACGCCGGGGATAGCGCGCGACGACGGCGTGACGAAACCGTCTCGATAACAAAAAAAAAAAAAAAAAAAAAAAAAACATACACATATATATAATAATAATAAAAAATTTGAAAGCTCGGAAAGGGTTTCGAAACACATCGACGGCCGGCCGCCGACAGCTGCGGCGCTGGGCAACAGCCTCGGGGGGTATCTGCAGCGGCGGCGACCGTGCGCGGTGTTTTTTTTTCAGATTACACACGCCGTTTATAATAGGTGCGTGCACGTGTACGTTTTTATCGTGTGTATAATATAATATTTTGTGAACGCGGTCATATCTTACGATATTTTTCATATAATACGGGCGCCGCCGTAGCCGAAACGCGATCGGATTGTCACAATAAAAAAGCCGCCGGCTGTTGTGAAAATATGGAGCGACTGCCGGACCGGTTTCTGGTGCCGCGCGTGTGCACGTCCGTCCGTCCGATCGCCCGACCAAAGGCGGGCCGACCGACCGACGCAATACCCGAAGAAAATTTCGTTATCCGAAAAAATACATTACAAGCACACGTACGATAATATTACACTACACGCGCTAGTTCAAATTCTTTATACATTATAATACCTACGCCGAAAAAAAAAAAAAAAAAAATGAACGAAATTAGTTATGAGATAGTTTATTTTATTTATTTTTTTTTCATAACGAATGAATTTAACGATTTATCGCGTCGGATTAGCGGACTAATAATGTATTGTAATTGGTTTTTGCTCGAAGCTGTGAAATGAACGCACTTGAAAAAAAAAAAACACCTATAAAATGTTTATAAAACTTGTCGAGCAAACGGCTTGAATTACGCTAAAAATACACCCTGAAATATGCAGTAAAATGCGATGTTTTCAACGAAAAATAACATAAACTATTACAATACGCTTGCGTGAAACTTTTTTTTTTTCCGGAATATGAGATAAAAAAATAATATAATAAATATTCGAATTAAACTGAATTTATTAACACATAATACGATTCAAAGTATCAAACTATTTTTAATGATAAAACAGGCAGTAAATATTTTTAAACAAATATAGCAGGCATAGAAACATTTCATTTTTATACGATTACATTACGTGCGAACGAGTACAAAAAAAAAAAAAAACGAATATTGAAGTTTCGGATTCGCGCTTAAATCTACACAAATCGTTGCAGTTCTAGATTCGTACAATCGAATAAAATGCAGTGATTTTGAATTGCACGGCAGGAACATATTATTATTATTATTATTATTATTATACAGAACAAAAGAAATGTTACTCGTCAGTTAACACATTTCATATTCTATATAGATTTTTTTACAAAACTACGCGTCGTCGTTTTTTTTCTGCGGTTAACATTTTATGGGTCAGTGCGTATTACAACTGCACGCTGCGCAAGAAGTTTCGTGAAGTCGCAGGTACACATACGAATCGAATAAATAATATTATATTATAACGCTATTGCGGTACTTTTGAGAAGTGCATTTTCGAATTCCTCTGCTCGGCGGCGCGTCGAAAATCGCGATTCGAATAATATTCCTACACGATAGTATTTAAATACAACGGGTACGTAAACTACCGGGTCTAAAACTACATTACGTCCGCCAACCAGAGGGGCGACGGGGACTAGCGTGAAGTCAGCCCCCCCCCCGTCGGGGTCATTTTCGAACAAACGTTTTTTTTTTTTTTCGTACTGGCCGAATAAAAAATTCCGAAAATCCGCTTACAATATTATACTTGCAATATAAGATACACGAGTACGTTGTATCGCAACTTTCACAACGTATTTCGTTCGGTAAAACTGATTAAATTATAGAAGACCGGGGCCGAGTTCGATTCGATGCACTACGATGTTAATGGTTGTGCCGATAGTGCAGTAACAACCGGTGTAATGTTTCGCATTCGATTTAATTGCTCCGACAGCACTGCAGCAAGTGCGCACGAGCCGCGTTTCTTTACACGGGAGACGGTTAAACGATTATTATATCAACGTAACACATTTTTCGATTGAATTTCGAAGATTTCAAATAACAGAAATATCTTTTCCGGAATATTACAATATTACGGCGGCAACAACACTCGATTGTTGACGTTTTCGTGTTCGACATTAAAAACCCGGCGTTGCGAAAGCGTTGCACTCGTGCAGTTCTCGTATAGTGCAGTCACATTAATAATAACCGTCGAATCGAAAACACAATTAGAATAATAATAATAATATTATGCATCCGAGGTCGACGGAACGTTATTATAAGACGCGAACGCAACATCGGAATAACCGACGCCCACTATCGTTTTACCGTACATAATATATGTTACCTAGCATGTTTTACAATAAATTATCGAAATATTATGTCATCGGTATTAATAATACCTAATGGTCAATACCTATTACCCGTGTAACGTGTCGATATTCGTACGCCGACGAATGATTTGTTTAGTGATTTGTTCGTGTGAATTATTCTTCTTTTTTTTTTTTTTTTCCGGAAATCAATCCGTATGCGCTGCAATACGTGTCGTCAAAGAAGACCGCGACGATTTGGGGGCTAAATGCGCACGGTGAAAACGAAACGTACGAAACGAGACCCGACAGGGAAAATAACACCTTATTTGAGAAGGACGACGACGGTAGGAGTTGGTCAGACTCGAGTAAAAAAGAACGGCTGAACTTTAGACGGCGGACCTAATAGAGACGGATGGACAACGGCTGCAGGGAGATCGGACGCGAAATGGGACGTGATCTCCTAGGGGTCGAACAAAATGTTTAAACAATAATAATGACGAATTATCTTCTCCTTCTTTTTCTTCTTCTTGGATTTGTCGCCCATCAAGGCCATCTCCAGCCTCCCTATCCGCCGCTCGTGCTTTCCAGTATAGTCTTCAACACTCAGTGCTTCCACATATTTTTTCATCACATCTTCCCACCTCAATCTGGGTCTTCCCAGTGGTCTTTTACCGACTGGGTTCTCGTCCATGACCATCCTTATGAGGTGGTTCTGGCCTCGCAAAGCATGTCCAGACCGATGACGAATTATATGTAATTAAAATAATCGAATCGTTTCGTATGCCGTTTTAGTTTTAAAATTACACCAGAAACACGCGATTATTTAGGTTTATACATTAAAAAAACCGCCGTATATTTGATTTTTTAAATAGGGAAAAAGGCCTCCGGAGTTTATAAAAAATGCGTGTCTAAACGTTTTTTTCGCAGTCGTTGAAAATCCGCAGCAGTCCTTTTGCAAATAATTCGAATTCCTGCTTTAATAGTGCGTATGATTATGTGCGATAGTAAAATGTTTTCGAAATGAGTAGGAATTTAAGAAAGGACTTTAAATTTGTTTAAAACGAAATCCGATTTTTGCAAATGTGTTTAGCCCCCGTGAAAATCCAGTATTCCATCGCCAAGTACCAGTCCCTGTACATTCGCCGTTGAATACATCACTGACGCGAAATTACGGCGGAAACGATCTTTAATTTGTAGAACGAAAGTTTTCGCGGTTTTTTTTTTCTCGTTTTGTTTTTGTATTTCTCAAGCCAACTATTTATTATTATATTCTATATACCGGGGAATTGGCCGGAACTATGGCCATAAGTTTTCTCGCGCTCTGTCGCGCACGAAATGCCACCGCAATGCTGCAGTTCGTATAAACCGTATAGACCTACAGGGTGGTTATTTTATCGCGAACCGACGATTATGTGGTACCGCGTGTAATTCGAATAAATCTGACGGTATCTTTATTAACGGACATTTTCAAAAAAAAACCTATATTACAAATAACGAAACGCCGTTTAACGATTCTGTATTTTAATATCTGGAATTCGACACGAGTGATCTAGTCGCAAAATACGGACCGAATCAATAGCGAATGACGCCGCCAAACCGGACCCACGGGGTGGGAAGAGGCCTATGTAGGAACATCGAAACGGCGATTGATCGACGAAATCGAAAAGGATTTTAAACATCTGGGGATTCGGGGTTCGTTTTGCGGCCGCGGGCCTTTAAATCGGATAAAGAAAAATAAAACGTGATAATAGTATTACAATATGTTGTGTATCTGGAGGAAAATCATACACATTACTATACTGTTATAGGGCGCCTACGGGTTTCTAGAAAATCCCTTAGGGCGCGACGAGTGAAAAATATAAAGGTCGGGAACTTTCGATTGTGGATAATCGCCGGTACGCCGGACAAAATAGCATCGCGATAATATTATTACAGAGCAAGTCACTCGCGGTCACCATCTCGGGTCGACTGAGTTAGAAATGCCCGACGCCCAAACGTATTCAAATCGAGACTCGATCGGTATTTGCGGCGTTTTGAAAGTATGTGCGTGCCATTTGAAGACGAAACGCGGGTAAAAAGCGACGGCGAAAAACGACGGCAATGTAACGGTTTTCGAGGGTCGCTTATTGTTTCTCGGACTTTCGGAAAAAAAAAAAACAAAAAGACAAACACCGACCGAAAAGTTAACACTTTCCGCCGGGATAACGAACGCGCGTGATGCCGTGATCGCCCTGTACACGGCGGCGGTGCGCGTCACGTTTCCAGTTTTATTGTATTGGCGACGCGTCGGCCGTAATACACAACACGCACAACGATAATAATGTAATGTTAAATAATAGCCGATCCGCAAGTGCGACGGAAAATAATAATATCGTTATAACGTTGTAAAATAGGCGACGGCAGTTTATAACAATACCGTCCGGACAATTGTGGAAAAAAAAAAAAATAAAAATAATCGCGGAAAACGCGCCGCTTTGGAAACGGTCCAAGAACACTGTGCGATATGTGAAATGATAATTAAACGTACGCCGGGACGGGCTTATTCGAACAATTTAATATGGCGAAAAATACGAAAAATACGAAAATAAAAAAAAAAACCATCTATCCCTACTACTACCCTCCCGGCGACCGGACTGTCCGGGAATATCGGAACGACGACCACGGAGGGGTCGCCGATGACGCGGGACGGGTCGAATATTACGATAATATTTTATCGATTATTCCCGTGTTGTACATTTACGGGCCGGGTTATAACCTCAACGGCCGTATACGGTAATATAGCGAAGATAATAACAATCGTTTTTCTATACAGGTACGTCGTCGCAATGAACAGCATCCCGATAACGTTGTAACCGGGTCGCGACAAAAAAAAAAAAATATAAATAAAAAATAATGATAATAAAGAACCGTCGTCGTAAAGTTGTCGGTTTTTTGTTTTTTCTTTCTTTTAGATTTTCCGAGTGTAACGAACCAGAAGCTATATCGTGCGTTATGGTTTTACTGAAATGCGACAGATTTTTTTTTTTAGCTCGGAAAACAATTTTTTCGGTCGGCAGAAACATTTTGTTTTTTTTTTTTTTTTCTGACGCCCGTGAAAGCGCGCCATTTCCGACCTGCACCGGCGCTGTTTTATTCGAAACGTTTTTTTTTTTTTTTTTTTTTTTTTTTTTCTAGATTTCGGAAAACTTTTCGAACAAACTTAAACTAAAAAAAAAAAAAACAACTGACATCAAATGACGACACAATTTAACGTGTACACGGTTATTACCTCGGTCAGGGGAGCACGATTACGAACGTCAACTCAACATGTCACTGAGCTCCGTTTAGAATCGTTTTTTTACCGCAACGATTCGCCGTCGCTTTCGGTAGAGTGCATAAATTAAACTAAAACTTACGCCTTTCCAACTTCGTGCCGACGAAACAGAGACCTACACATTGCGCGAAGCATACGTCCGAATTAGGTTCACCTTGTACTGTTCCGAGCATTTTTACTAACCAAAAGGTGTTTTTCGAAAACAAAAAGTATCGAGGCGGTGGTAAAGTTACTTAAACTTTAAAACACGATTCGATTAAAATAACGATATTATCACCGGTTAAAATTGCACGTCTTTCAGGTCGAAGAAATTTGAGTATTTTTACTCATCAAATGTGTGAAAACCCGTAGAAATTATATAGCGAACGATCCGCAACGTTTAAGTCGCGGAAATATCGGAGCATTTTCACTCATGTGTAAGTACATTTTTAAAGTATTCTTCGAGAAAAGAAGAACTACACCAAACGTCGTTCCGGTAGAAATTTTAAACGCAGTCGGAAAATTATCTTAGCGTGACAGTAGTGAAAAATTTTAATAATATAAATTTAATCCCCCCCCCCGATCCCCGACCCCCTCAAAACATTTATAGCGGTTCCGTATCGAATTCGTAAGCCCGTACGTATTATAGTACGCGATTCAGAAATGAAACGATAATCGCGTTTTGTTTTTTTCTTTTCTCACGGCTTTTGAACAAACAAGACCTCCGTGGCCGTCATCATCCGGTTGTTCGGCGCTCTCGGAGTCTAAAACCGCTATAATTAGCTGTCGTTTTTTTTTTTTTTTTCTCGAGAAGAACCGAAAAACAATCGCCGGCAATACTGAACGCGCC